AAAAATGAGGACTTAATGCCAGGGGCTTAAGTGGAGAGCAAATTTTTTGAGAATGATGAGGGCAATGAATGTACAAATGTGTTTTACACAATTGATGTATATATGGATTGTGCTAAGAGTTGTATGAGCCCCTAATAAAACGATTTTAAAAAAAGATAAAGGAAATGTCCTATGAACTTCTTAAGGTACTCTCATATTAATACACCCATTGCCGTCCTTGATGATAACAGATCTATACATTTACTTTTTATGTTATCATTTGCTTTGAGAATATTCTAAAAATGTCAATTGAAAGAAGTACTCACTTTTCTTCAAATATTTCCCTTTGGGGGAGGGGCATATATATTTTTAATAGTTTAACAGAGGTCTGGTACTCAGTTTTAGTATATATGCATCCTACTTGGAAACATTAGAAGCTTATCTACTATTTCATCTAGACATCTGGCAAACTCAATCCTTTTACCATATAAAATCCATTGCAATCAGTGAACAATATTTTTAAAATACTGTTTATATTTCAAGCTTCAAACTCTAAATTCTGATATGAATTAACTTTCGCAGTTATTCGTGAGGAAAGTAAGTCGGAATGCTCTTCAAACTCTAGTAAACTCTTCATTCTACTTGATGACTAGTGGCTTAAGAGCTGGGCTGCAAACCACAAGGTCAGCAGTTCTAATCCACCAGTCACTCTGCTGAGAAAGATGACGCTTTCTGACAACCTCAATATGGATGACTCTAGGTCTGATATAATTTGCCAGACTGCTGTCTCATCCCACAGATGACAGTGAAAGACCAAAATCTATTTGTAGGCTCCCACAAGGACTAAGCCTCTGGTGAAACCCCTCTGGCCGTAGACCAAGGATGCAACAGCCTTGCTACAGAGTACACCGGAGAGTGGATTACTCCAGATTCAGTTAGATGAAAACTTAACACCTTATCATTTGTTCTCCCTTTTGACTCATTTTAAATTTGTGGTAGTTCTTATTATTTTCTGCATTCAAGTGAGAGTTTTCTCAGTTTTATTGTTATTGTTTCGTTGTTTTATTATCTTGGTTGGTTTCTTTGGTTGTCATCGTCGTCGTGTATATTTTTCAGCACATGAAATCCAGCATAGTTAAATCTATAGAGACAGCATGTATTAATATTTTCTGAGTGGATCAATATTGTCTTAGGGGGATGGCAGGAGAGGTGGGGGGTGGGTGGGGAACTAATAACAAGGAGTACAAGAAAGAGGAAAATGTTCTAAAGTTAATTTTGGTGATGATTACAGAACTTTTTAATATGATTGAAATAATGAATGGTATGATATGTGAATGTCAATAAAATTGTTAAAAAGATACACAGCCCTAGACACCCAAAAGGGCAGTTCTACTCTATCTTAAGGGGTTGCTGGGAAGCAGAATTGACTTGATAGCAGGGATTTTGGAGTTGGTTTCGACTTTATTAACTTAGTCGCTCATTAAAAAACAAAAGTAAAACAAACAAAAAAATTGCACATTTCTATGGGTGTATTTTAGGATTTGAGCTGCTAAATCCAAGACCAGTGGATCAAACTCACTGGCCTCTCTGAAGAAGAAAAATGTGGCTGTCTGGTCCCAGAAAGATTGACGGGTATTAGAAACCCACAGGGGTAGGTTTACTCTTTCCTTCAGGGTCAGAGTGTAACAGAATCAGTTCCATGGTTTGGTAGCACAATAGTTAAGTGCTTGGCTGCTGACCAAAACGTTGGTTGCTAGACCCTATCAAGTGGCTCAGGCAGGAGAAAAGACCCAGTGGCTTAATCCGCTCCTATAATGATTACAATGTAGGAAACCTTGTGGGACAGTTCTTTTCTGTCATAAAGCATCACTATGAATTGGAATCAATTCAAGGCACACAAAACCTGTAACTGCAGCACTCTGACCTTCTTGAGTTCTTAAAACGAGCCTATCCATGAACTCAGGCTGGGCAAAGCAAGAAAGCTTGCTTTCTGCTCCTGTAAAGATTTATACTCTTGGAAAGTCGCAGGGGAAGTAGAGCCTGTCCTATAGGGCCAATAGGAGTCAGCACTGACTCGATGGCAGTGAATTCGGTTTGGTGGGACATCGGAGCCACAGGATGTGGAAGTGTAGTTTAATTTCAAATCAGTCTTCTACAGCTTTCCACCCATATTTCCCACTAATATTTTGTCAGCATTGGTAAACGTAGCCAAAATATTGGTGACCACCCTAAATGTCAAAAAGGAGCTCTGGTGGTGTAGTGGTGATGCATTGGGCTGCTAAGCCAAAAGCCAGTAGTTCAAATCGAGTGACTACGCAGGAGGAAAACGAGGCTGTCTACCATCGTACAGAGCTACAGTCTCAAAAAACGCACAAGGACAATTCTACCCTGTCCTATCTGGTCGCTATGACTTGTAATCGACCAGGTGGCAGAGAGTAGCTGGTTTTGTTTGGGGGCCTACATACATGTCTAGATTTTACCCCATTTTCAAATCGTTCCACAGAAACATCAATGCCATTAAGAATACAAACCAAGTCCTACTGGCTCCAAGGACTTGCATTCTGATCTAGTTCTTTGACAAACCTGTCTGGGCAAGTTGCAACCAGAATCACACGCCTGACTGCCCTTTTCCAAATCCGGCAGTGCTGCGTCACCTGTCTATATCCTAATGTTCTCTATTCTGCATTAGCAGCTGAGAACTGACCTACTTTACAGATTGTGAAACGCAGGGATAAACTGTGCTAAGAGTCTGCAAGGTGTGTGCCGACTCAAACTCTTAATAGCACCCATGCAACACCGGACATGCATGGTTTCACTTAGCCTTTCAGAAGTCCTATGATGTAGCTAACATAAGTCACCTCCATTGTAAAGACGATCAAAGGGACGCTGGCAAGTTGGGTCGGTTGCCCAGGTGCACAGCTAGCATGGGCATAACCAAAATTCAAAGAATGCAAACACTCTTCAGCCAATTTCCTTAGGGTCCCGCAGTAAACGCTCGTAATTCTTACCTACATTTCTTAAGCTGTTATACACAAAGTAGCTCGAAAAGGTCCACTGGGCAAGTCTCGGGGCCTCAAGAAAGGTAGCACCTCGCCTCCCCTAAATTTAGATTCTCGGCTCACTGCCATCGAGTCAGTGCTGACTTACAGCGACCCTCTGGTGGGGTTTCCCAGACTGTAACTGTTTACGAGAGCAGAAAGCCCAGTCTTAATCCCGCGGAGCTGCTGGTGGTTTCGAACTGCCGACCCTTCAGATCGCAGACCAACGCGTCACCACGACGTCCCCGGGGCTCCATCCATTTACATTAAACAAGCCAAACGGGAGGGTTCCTCGCGCGGCGGGGAAAGACCAGACGAGAGGAGAACCGGCTCCTGGTCTCCCAAGCCAGACCTCCCGCTCGGGCACGAAGCCCGCACTCGGCCGCCGAGAACCCGGGACGCGGGGGCGCGGGCGCGCGCGCGGTCCCGGCACGCGGCCTCCCCAGCTTCCCGAGGGGCGACACGGGCCGGGCCGGGGAGGCCGAGCTGGGAGGCGCGCGGCGCGGGCAGGGCGCGGGCGGCACGTACCTCGGCCGGGCGGGAGCGAGCGGCGACGGGAGCTCTCCAGTGGCCCGGCCGCGGAGCCAAGCGGGAAGACCGAGGCCCCGCCCCTTCCTGTGCCGCCCGGCCACTTCCGTCGGCGACACGCCTGCGTCCCGGCGGGATCCGCCCTGCCACTTCCTAACCCTTGTCTGCAGGGCTGGCCGGGCCGGCGGGCCGCTCGTCAGCCCCTGATCACAGAGCAGAAGGCCTCGTTCGAGACCAGGCTGCCGCGGAGCGAGCAAGATGTGCTGCGAGAAGTGGAGCCGCGTGGCCGAAATGCTCCTCTTCATTGAAGACCTGGCGGAGGATTGCAAGATCCGTTGCCTCTGCTCCAGGGCGTTTGTAGAGTAAGTACCCACGTGGTTCTCAGGGCACGTACTAACCGTTTTCCCCAGAAAGATAGATGTTGCAGACGTGGTTGTGATGAGTTGACCCTTGAAATCACGGCCTTGGTGTTTGACCCTTACACGAGGGGATGTGTGAGGGAGAAGAAAAGTCCCCGGATATTGACTTTATTGTGTACATTCAGGATTAAATCTACTTTGTTTGAAAGCTATAGTGCAAAAATGTATTCGCTGGCATGTAGTTTTATATTTATCAATTGTGGACATATAATAATCTGGGAAAGTAAAATGAAGTAGCTTTAGTGGGTGTGACGGCACAAGGTGCAGCTTTAATACTTGTGGTTAACCTTTTGTTAAAAAAAACCGTAAGAATTCTTAACTCTGAAGTGGACATAATTAAAACTAGTAGTTATATAAGAACGCTCATATTTACATGTGCTTTGAGGTGCCATCATCTTTGGAAAATATTTCTATCAGGGAAAAGTATTGCATGAAAGATAGCTAATGTGTGGGACTAAAGAAATGGTTTCTAGGAATGATTTTCTCAAAGTTACATCTGACCTAAGTTACTTAAATCTTTGTTCATTTCTAAGTAGGCATATTTGCCATAATCTCACATTCTTATTGTGAAAGTCAAATCTTGTGGAAGTTAATTTTTTTGACTTTGAATGGATGTGTAAATAGTGGAAATAAAATGAGGATGCACCTTTAAAGAAAGGCCTCATGATCTACTTCCAGGAAAGAGTAAAAAAGTACAGCACCCAGTTCTGCTCCCAGACATAGAGTCATGAGTTGGGGCCAGCTCGGGACAACTGGTCACTGCTAAGTTTGTGTGGGAGCATGCATTCCCCAGAGGAAAACTGTAAACTCCTGGGGAATCAAAGGAAAGCAAAACAAATGTAACAATGAGGAAAGAAAATTAGGAGATAGGGTTGGTAAGATAAGCTAGGCTAGACCAAAATGGAAAAGGCTTTGTAGGGAGTTCTCTGTTCCAAGATTAGGGTGGACTGTATCTCTGAATCCTACTTTACTGGAATGTATGGCTTAAGTCCCCATCTTTTGTTATCTCTGAGGGTGGGTGTAACACATTCCAACCAAGAGCAACAATATACACAACAGAACAAAGCAAGGCCTGGTTCTGCACATTCTGCACCATCTTAAGCTTGTTGAGCCCATTGTTGCAGCCACTGTGTCCGTCCATCTCTTCCAAGGCCTTCCTCTTTTTTGTTGCCCCTCTACTTTACCAAGCGTGATGTCGTTCTCCAGAGACTGGTCCAAAGTATATAAGATAAAGTCTTGCCATCTTTGCGGCTAAGGAGCACTCTGGCCATACTTCTTCAAAAACTGGTTGGTTTGTCCTTTTAGCAGCCCGTGGTACTTTCAGTACTCCTCACCAGCACAATTCACATGCATTGATTCCTCTTCAGCCTTCCTTATTCCTTGTCCAGCTTTCACGTGCGTATGAGCCATTGGCTTGAGTCAGGTACAGCTTAGTCCTCAAGGTAACATCCTTGCTTTCCAATACTCTGAAGAGGTCTTACTTATGCTGTGTATTTACCCAAGGCAATGTGTCATTTGATCTACTGACTCTTGCTTCCATGAACATTGATTGTGGATGCAAGCAAGCAAAATCCTTGACAACTTCAACCGTTTCTACATTTATCATGATGCTACAGATTGGTCCAGTTGTGAGGATTTTGGTTTTGCTTACATTGAGTTGTAATCCATACTGAAGACTGCAATCCTTGATCTTCATCAGCAAGTGCTTCATTCATGTCCTCACTTTTAGCAAGCAAGGTTGTGCATATTGTAGGCTGTAAATATGCTTTCCTCCAATCCTGATGCTACATTCTTCTTCATAACAGCCAGCTTCTCTGATTACAAATTGAGTAGGTATGCTGAGAAGATACAACTTTGATGCACACCTTCCCTGATTTTAAACCATGCAGTACTCCTGCCTTTGCACAGCTGTCTCTTGAGCCATGTACAAGTTCTGCATAAGCATAATGAAGTATCCTAGAGTTCCCATTTTTCTCAAGGCTATCTGTAGTTTGTTGTGATCCACACAGTCTAATGCTTGTCTTTGGCTAATGCTTTCAATGAGGCTGAACTCCTTCCTTCAACAACATTGGCTCTTGTTCATATGCTACCTCTTAAAATGTTTGCATGTCGGCCATTTCTTTTGGGTACAGTGATGCTGAGTTCCATCCATGTTCTGTGGATACGTCCATCATCATTCAATGTTTTGCCCATAGTATCTTTCAGTATTGCAACTTGAGGCTTGAATTTGTACTGGAGTTCCTCCAGGGTAAGATATGGTGGGCATGTTCTTTTTTGTTTTCTAACTCTAGGTCTTTGCACTTTTCCTTACAATGTTTTACTCTGTCTCCTCGAGTTGCCCTTTCAAGTATCCTGGTCAGGCCTTTGATTTCATCATTTCTTGCATTTGCCATAGCCACTCTGAATATGAGCAGGTTGCAAAGTCTCTAATGGCATGCATTTAGATCTTTGAGGCCATTACTGAAGCTTAACTTTCTCCATACTATGTAAATGTCCTATATTTTGGGATCTGTAATTATCCTAGGTATTGCAAATCCTAACCTCTGTGATGCTACTGGGGCAGGATGCCATCTACAGTATTGGGTTTTATATTGAGTTAATGCCTTTTGATATATGAAAGTGGTTAAACTAGTGAGCAGAGACTTCCACAAAGAAAGAAGAGCTGAGAGTGGAACCCAGGCTCCCTGCTCTAAGAACCTCCTAGAGCGGCAGTTCTCAACCTGTGGGTCACGATCCCTTTGGGGGTCAGAGCCCTTTCACAGGGGTTGCCCAATTCATAACAGTATCTAAATTACAGTTATGAAGTAGCAACAAAAATAATTTTATGGTTGGGGGGTCACCACAATATGACCCTGTATTAAAAGGTCACAGCATTAGGAAGGTTGAGAACCACTGTATTTATGCCAAGACATCTGAGAATCTCCATAGAATGCTGAGCCCACAGGTACTGAAAAGGGATAAAGGTCTTGTAAACTGAGCCAGAAGAGAGAAGAGTCTGCCTAAAGGTAGCATCTTGAACTCACACTTCTAATTACCTAAACTATGAGAGAATAAGCCCTGTAATGATAGTTATTTAAATATCGTGTGTGCTTCTATACAGAACCTAGAACGTTGTTGAGTTGATTCCGACTCCGAGCAAAAAAATGTGGACTAGAACATGCTCCATTCCTGGCTCTTGCTGGTAGCTTCTCAGAGGACTCATTTTATATACAGCAGGATGGCATTCCCGGGAATCCTGTTCACAGTTCCTCACAGGTGAATTCTATCAGTATCGTTCCCCCAAATTTACCAGACCCTTGCTGGAAAAGGTCATTCAGTAGAAGTTAGAGACTTACCCAGAAGAGCCACGTTAAATAATCCCACTGCCCCTGTAAAGCCCAGTATCAAATCTTGAACAAAACTCAAGGGAACATCTTCCCAAGTCACTACTGTATGTCTGAGCACATTTTGCCCCATCGTCAGTCCGTCGTACTGAGGGTCTTCACTCGTTCGCTGACCCTGTACAAGCACGATGCCCTTATTTAGGGACTGGTTTCTCCTGATAACATCCGAAGTAATTTGAGACAAAATTTCACCATCCTCTCTTGTAGGGAGCATTCTGGCTGTACTTCTAGCACAGATTTGGTTGTTCTTCTGACCTCCGTTGCAGTTTTCCATATTCTTCAGCAACAGCTTAGTTCAAATACAAGAATTCTTCTCTGGTCTTGTTCATTGTCAAAGCCCACCTGTATATGGGGTGATAGAAAGAAAGCACCACGGCTTGGACCTGGTGTGCTGTAGGACCTCCAAGTGGCCCCTTCGTTCTGGGCTCTGCAGCACATTTACTCACTCAGCGAAGACGGTCGATCTCTTCACTGCTGCTTCCATGAGCTTTGATTGTGGATCCCACCAGAATGAAATTCTTGACTACTTCAGTCGTTTCTCCGTTTATCATGATGTATAATGAGTTATAATCCATATCAAAGGCTGCAATCTTGGAGCTTCATCAACAAGTACCTCATGATACATTTGTGTGTGTTTTATATACGTCACTTATGCACGTGTATTTACAATTATTTCTGTATCTATTTTGTACCTAAATTTAAAAACAATGTCCTCATAACAACACTTCCAATTTTTGCGCAGCACATGAAGGTCCTTTCTAGCCTTCTATATTTCCATGTGTTTAAATAGCCCTCTTCAACATGGAGAACCGTGACAATAATGATCGTCAATATATTTACATACTTACACAGTGCACCTAATAGTCTAACCATAATGGCTCTCTAATGAGCTTGACCTAGTGCTGCATAACCTAGGTGTTGCCATTGATCCCCTCTCTGGCTTCCATTTTTACCCCTCTAGTGTCCCATGATAATAAAATCTAAATCCAGAGGGAATGGTAATAACGTTTAAATTGTGAATACCTACCTGGTTTGCAAAAGGCTATGGGAGACAGTGGAAGCCCAAAATCCATTTGCAGTGTCACCACATGGATTAAGCCTCAGGTGAATCCCCTCTGACCATAGTAGCAGGATCAGAGAGCATTATAATAAACGCAATTATGGCAGATGGAGTTAGTTTAAAACGTACTGTCATATCATTTGATCTCCCTTTGACCCATTTTAAAGTTGTAGTTTTTCAAAAGAGTGAAATGGGGATACACGTGTCTTAAGCCTCTAGTGAATCCCCTCTGAATGTAGACCAGGAAGGTGAATAACCTTGCAGAAAGCATTTGAAAGTGGAT